CCACCCCCCCACCCCAGAAGAAACGAAGGAGGAGAGATAGATTGATGGGGATGTGACAATGGTCATGGTGAATGACAAGTTGATGGGGATAAACAGACACAGATTCAACCTGGAGCAAAGGCACTAAAACATTTTCCCAGGTCATGTAAGACCTTCCTTAGGACCTTGTTTACCATGTACAGTAGTTTCGTTAATTTGGCTCACACCATTAAGCTTAGTTGTACTCTGGAACCTTATCCCTTATTAGGCTTGGGGGAAATTCCTATCAGCTCAATCAATAGAGCACTGAAATTGTCATCTAGATCTTTAGTCCTGAATTTAACAAAGGTCATTTTGAAGTTGTTGCCTCGGTAACAGAGACTAGGTCCGAGATGATGGAGCCTCCATCATGGAGGTAAACTCACCTAGTATGGACACTGTGTAGGTCAATGTTCTTCTCCACATGGCTGGTAGCAGGCTGTAAATACACAAACAGTTGTCTTACTTCAAAACAATATCCAAGCCATTCAACTGGTAAACCATTCTAATATACCACTCTCAAACAGTGAATATAAATGTATACCTTGTTGAGTTAAAACCATGCACACAAGAAATATATCGCACAAACTTTGAGTGTTGTCTGGTAAGAATATATCCTAGGAGTTTGAGGTTCTCACTCATAAATGATTGAAATTTTAATTTTGCACAATTTTTTATTTATAAAAAAAAATATGTTGATACCAGTTTTCCTTGCAAATGGTGAGCTCGGATTTGAGTTGTATATAAGTTTTATATCTATAGCTACCGAAGTGTCAGTGTTAATAGACAGTAAAAGAACCAGACTCGTTAACTAGACTACAATATTGATTAGAAGAAACACAAGGACTCGGATATCATGTCCCTGTATCCCAATGATAGAGAACTAGAAAGGGAGAGTTTCTGTTACTCCAATCCGAATGAGATGATCTGTTGATTTTGTTACGCACCACTGATCAGAATGACTTCCTGTATTTGATGCATCACTTTTTGATTATACAATAATCAATGTCCATTTTGACATGGTTGAGTGACTCGCGTCGGACCTCCCTTCACCATGTCAGATAATTACATACAGTGCTTGTTTGGATCTGTAATGAATTTCCAATACCCTGATTGTATACATCTAATCTAGTGTCACTAACACGCTGACTTATCTGACTTCAGATCCTACATGAGAAATGTATTGGTCGTTAGAGTAAGTCAGGTGAAAAGTGCGAGAGCCCTGATAGCACAGGTAGGGCTATCCGAGTCGCCCAGGTAAGGCTGCGATTCGCCTGATAGCACAGGTAGGGCTATCCGAGTCGCCAGGTAAGGTTGCGATTCGCCTCATAGCACAGGTAGGACTATATATCCGAGTGGCCAGGTAAGGCTGCGATTCACCTGATAGCACAGGTAGGGCTATCCGAGTGGCCAGGTAAGGCTGCGTGCGATTCGCCTGATAGCACAGGTAGGGCTATCCGAGTGGCCAGGTAAAGCTGCGATTCGCCTGATAGCACAGGTAGGGCTATCCGAGTGGCCAGATAAGGCTGCGATTCGCCTGATAGCACAGGTAGGACTATTGGAGTCGCCAGGTAAGGCTGTGACTCGCCTGATAGCACAGGTAGGGCTATCCGAGTGGCCAGGTAAGGCTGCGATTCGCCTGATAGCACAGGTAGGGCTATCCGAGTGGCCAGGTAAGGCTGCGATTCGCCTGATAGCACAGGTAGGGCTATCCTAGTGGCCCAGGTAAGGCTGCGATTTGCCGGATAGCACAGGTAGGGCTATCCGAGTGGCCAGGTAAGGCTGCGATTCACTAGCACCAGTACAACAGGTGTGTCCCAGGTACTATTGTCAGGTTCATCCAGCATCCCTCATCATGTCTGACCTCTATACCTCCTATCTATCATAGACTGTCCTTCATCTGACAACCAGTTACCAGAACTTACCTGTTCAGTTTTTATCATTTGCAAATGATTTAATGTTATATTCTGTCAACTTTCTGTGTTCTTTATTTTCTTTCAAAACTAGGAAAACAACAACCTGAAAACAAGCATGAACTTCTATGATTTTATTTACACTCAGGTTTGTACCGAATACGTGTTAAATGTTTACAGGTCGGGTATGAGCCCAGAAAGAAAACCTCTAGTCTGTGATTGGGACTGAAAGGTGGAATGGAGTAGGTTGTTGTACTGCAATGGAGGAGGGAGAGGTAACTTACCGGGAGTGAGGAGGGTATAGGTGGAGGCTGTGTACCCGGACTGCCATACACGGCCTGGGACATGGTGCAGGATGAAGCCTGCCCTGAGCTGGCGTACACAGGGTAGCTGGCAGCATGCACTGGAGCCTGACTGGAGCTGGCATAGGGCGAATGACACGTTTGGCCAGCACTGGCGTACGGAGAATGGCTAACCTGGCCAGACGAAGCATAGTTGGACCTTCCAGTTTGAACAGAGCTTGCATATGGCGAATGTCCAGCTTGACAAGAACCAGCAAACTGAGCATGACCAGTCCTTGCATAAGGAGAATGTCCACTGAGAGAAGTTGTGTGAGGGGGAACCTGGCTGGCATAGGGCAAGTGGCTGTTTACCACGGCAGCTGGCTGTACAGGTGGCATGGCTGTCTGTAAGTAAAACACATAAGAAATCAAAACACAAGAATCTGTTATCAAACAAATACAAAATCTGACTAAACCTTCTCCAACCTAAACTCTGTCATATCCTACTGAACACATCACTCATATCCTACTGAACATGTCAGTTGTATCCTACTGAACACATCTCTCATATCCTGCTGAACATGTCTGTCATATCTTGCTGAACATGTCGGTCATATCCTACTGAACATATCTGTCATATCCTGCTGAACATGGCTGTCATATCCTACTGAACATGTCTGTCATATCCTATTGAACATGTCTGTCATGTCCTACTGAACATGTCTGTCATATCCTACTGAACATGTCTGTCATGTCCTACTGAACACATCTGTCATATCCTGCTGAACACATCTCTCACACCCTGCTGAACACATCTCTCATATCCTACTGAACACATCTCTCAAATCCTGCTGAGCACATCTCTCATATCCTGGTGAACACATCTCTCATATCCTGGTGAACACATCTCTCATACCCTGCTGAACACATCCTGAACATGTCTGTCATATCCAGCTGAACATATCTCTCATATTCTGCTGAACACATCTCTGATATCCTGCTGAACACGTCTGTCATATCCTACTGAACACATCTCTCAAATCCTGCTGAACACATCTCTCATATCCTGCTGAACACATCTCTCATATCCTACTGAAAATGTCTCTCATATCCTACTGAACACGTCTGTCATATCCTACTGAACATATCTGTCACACCCTGCTGAACACATCTCTCATATCCTGCTGAACATGTCAGTCATATCTTGCTGAACATGTCTGTCATATCCTACTGAACACATCTCTCAAATCCTGCTGAACACCTCTCTCATATCCTACTGAACACATCTCTCACATCCTGCTGAACACATCTCTCATATTCTCTCATATCCTACTGAACACATCCCTCATATCCTACTGAATATGTCTGTCATATCCTACTGAACATGTCTGTCATATCCTACTGAACTTATCTGTTATATCCTGCTGAACATGTCTGTCATATCCTACTGAACATATCTGTTATATCCTGCTGAACATGTCAGTCATATCTTGCTGAACATGTCAGTCATATCTTGCTGAACACATCTCTCAAATCCTGCTGAACACATCTCTCATATCCTACTGAACACATCTCTCATATCCTGCTGAACACATCTCTCATATTCTGCTGAACACATCTCTGATATCCTACTGAACATATCTGTCATATCCTACTGAACACATCTCTCACACCCTGCTGAACACATCTCTCATATCCTGCTGAACACATCTCTCATATCCTGCTGAACACATCTCTCATATCCTGCTGAACATGTCTGTCATATCCTACTGAACACATCTGTCATATCCTGCTGAACATGTCTGTCATATCCTACTGAACACATCTCTCAAATCCTGCTGAACACATCTCTCATATCCTACTGAACACATCTCTCATATCCTACTGAACACATCTCTCATATCCTGCTGAACATATCTCTCATATTCTGCTGAACACATCTCTCATATCCTACTGAACATATCTGTCATATCCTACTGAACACATCTCTCACACCCTGCTGAACACATCTCTCATATCCTGCTGAACACATCTCTCATATCCTGCTGAACACATCTCTCATATCCTACTGAACACATCTCTCATATCCTGCTGAACATGTCTGTCATATCCTACTGAACATATCTGTCATATCCTACTGAACACATCTCTCACACCCTGCTGAACACATCTCTCATATCCTGCTGAACATGTCTGTCACATCCTGCTGAACACATCTGTCATATCCTGCTGAACACATCTCTCACACCCTGCTGAACACATCTCTCATATCCTGCTGAACACATCTCTCACACCCTGCTGAACACATCTCTCATATCCTACTGAACACATCTCTCATATCCTGCTGAACATGTCTGTCACATCCTGCTGAACACATCTCTCATATCCTGCTGAACACATCTCTCACACCCTGCTGAACACATCTCTCATATCCTGCTGAACACATCTCTCATATCCTACTGAACACATCTCTCATATCCTGCTGAACACATCTCTCATATCCTGCTGAACACATCTGTCATATCCTGCTGAAAGCATCCTAAAAGACAACATTCATATTACTCAAAAACAAGAGTAGGTAATCCTATTCAAGTAGATGATGAGGTAATATTTGCAAATGTACTGTTAACTGGAAAATGTCCACACCTGTTTACTAGCACTACAGGAATATATTTGGGAAGAAGAGTTCCAGCCATCAGATGTTTTTCTTACTTTGGAGTCGTCTGCCTTATATATATAAGATGGAGCCACCTAACAGAGTTTTCTGGTCTAGGTAAATCTAGTGGGTAAACACTTAACAGGAGTAACTTGTATGGTATACAGTTATCAAACAGAATAGTCTGTATACATAATGATGACAATATGTAGAATTATTATCATATAGCAGCATTTCAAATAGAGATGTACTTATAAAACAACTTATCATAGCATTTAACAATTATTGTTAATGGATTGGAAGTTGTTTTCAGTGGGCAGAATTGTATATATATTTACACCAGCATAATTCTTTTCAAAGTCAGCACTTATAAGGCTGAAAACACATTGGAACTATATTTTGTAACAGAGATATTGAAATATTGAAAATAATCAATCAAATCAGACAATGCATTGCAAATAATTTGATGCAACTCTTGTACAATATGACTGTGTATTCACACTGGCCAAAACCTCCTGGACTCTGAGCAGTTCTGTGTTCCATCACTCAACACCCGAGGGGACAGGAGAGCCTGCAGTACCCTCCACACTAACACACTGAAACCCCAGTTATCAGTGCCCAGGCAGATATCAGCCACATATCAAAAAGACAACATATTCCAATACATCCAGCTCTGAGATCATACAGCATGTGCTCTATCAACATTACAAGTCACAATAGCTACAGAGATCTCCCAGTCAACACAGGCCAGGAGCCCGATCTCCCAACCAACACAGGCCAGGAGCCCGATCTCCCAGTCAACACAGGCCAGGAGCTCGATCTCCCAGTCAACACAGGCCAGGAGCCCGATCTCCCAGTCAACACAGGCCAGCAGCCCGATCTCCCAACCAACACAGGCCAGGAGCCCGATCTCCCAACCAACACAGGCCAGGAGCCCGATCTCCCAGTCAACACAGGCCAGGAGCCCGATCTGCCAGTCAACACAGGCCAGGAGCCCGATCTCCCAGTCAACCCAGGCCAGCAGCCCGATCTCCCAGTCAACACAGGCCAGGAGCTCGATCTCCCAGTCAACCCAGGCCAGGAGCCCGATCTCCCAGTCAACACAGGCAAGGAGCCCGATCTCCCAGCCAACACAGGCCAGGAGCCTGATCTCCCAGTCAACACAGGCCAGCAGCCCGATCTCCCAGTCAACACAGGCCAGGAGCTCGATCTCCCAGTCAACCCAGGCCAGGAGCCCGATCTCCCAGTCAACACAGGCCAGCAGCCCGATCTCCCAGTCAACCCAGGCCAGGAGCTCGATCTCCCAGTCAACACAGGCCAGGAGCCTGATCTCCCAGACAACACAGGCCAGGAACCCGATCTCCCAGTCAACACAGGCCAGGAGCCCGATCTCCCAGTCAACACAGGTCAGGAGCCCGATCTCCCAGCCAACACAGGCCAGGAGCCCGATCTCCCAGCCAACACAGGCCAGGAGCCCGATCTCCCAGCCAACACAGGCCAGGAGCATGCTAAAATTATTTGAGATTCTTTGATCAACAGGTGTCAGTTCTGCTTACTTATTTGAAATTGAGATAAAATATCAGAAAAAGGAAATCAGTGGATGAAAATAGTTGAACTCAATTGCAATCACATAACTACCTAAGCACCAGTCATCTGAGTGTCATCAATACCAATGAAGAAGGTAGCAGTTTTCAGGCAAAAAAGTATAAAAGGACATCAGAAATGGAAAGTAACTAACCAAGACAACCAAAAATAAATAGCAAGTAAACAAGTACCCAACCTACTGATCATGTGTACGAACTAAAACTGGTTCAGTAGATCAGCAGTGGAGCTCCAGGCAAACTTCTTAACAACAAACAAGTGGACACCCTAGATTTTGGTATATTAAAACAAGCATTCTGTGAGTATTCAATACATGTCCCCTACTGATCCCCCCCACAATAATTAAAATAAGCATCCTAACACTATTATTAAGCGAACGATGAGCAATTACAATTAACAGCTTCAACTTGACACTAACTCTGTATAACTAACAGCTATAATCTTGAACAATGGCTCTGTATAACTAACAGCTATAACCTTGAACACTGGCTCTGTATAACTAATATAGCTATAACATTGAACAATGGCTCTGTATAATAACAGGTATACCCTTGAACAATGGCTCTGTATAACTTACAGCTATAATCTTGAACAATGGTTCTGTATAACTTACAACTATAACCTTGAACAATGGTTCTGTATAACTTACAGCTTTAACCTTGAACACTGGCTCTGTATAACTAACAGCTATAACCTTGAACAATGACTCTGTATAACTAACAGCTATAACCTTGAACACTGACTCTGTATAACTAACAGCTATAACATTGAACAATGGCTCTGTATAATAACAGGTATACCCTTGAACAATGGCTCTGTATAACTAACAGCTATAA